ATCTTAATGAGGCGGAACATTCTGCCTGTTTTAGGCTCTCTATGATTAAGGACGAAATAAGCAACCGGCGATGTTCAGATTATTATCCTACACTTGCTATTTGAACTCATGTTTTAAACTCTACGCCGGATTTCCTGTTCTACGAAGACATTCTGTCACGTACTATCTCAGGCTTTGACATTATGACATAGTGACTTGGGTCGGAGGAAGGAAATAAGGTTAATAAAATAATAACGGGTTACAAATGACACAGTTATCAGTGTTTCTCGACATTTCACTCTCTTTCTATGTACTTTAATTTCTAACAAACATCCTTCTTGATTCTAACTTCGACTTTTTTTCTCATCATTTGAACCCATTTCACCTTGTCATACATTGTACACCATTGCTCTTTATCATTGTATTCTCTAAACTGAGGACTCTAATCACATTTCATCCTGGTAACAGCAGTTAATGTGAGTTCGATCTACTGATTTACCATATCTCCGCCTGTTCCACCATAAGCTGTTAAGCGTCACTGAGGGTCTATATCCAAATGCTGCTCGTTTGTTTCTCTTTTCTCAGCATCACGTTCTCCGTGCATAGCTAGGGAGCTTTTTATGACTGAAATAAACTTCACACATGAGTCTTTCAAGGTCATAGCTCGTATCAAGTGTTTCTTACGTACACTTTATAACAACTATAAACTTAAACAGTTGTATTGCACAAATACTTAGCAGCGCTATATATTTCCTAGGGTCACAACGTAAGCGCGATGCAATTTTTGGAATAGTTCGTAAAGAGTGTGCTTATAGTACATCATTAGAGCATAAATCTATCAACTCTATGTTACATCTACATGAACATACTGACATTTATTTTCGTTGATTTTATCCATTTAATAATCCTACTTCGGAAGCATGTCATCTTTAAATTCATGCTGTAAATTTTTGACCATGCCTGCAAAAATTGCGTTTACCTGCTCTGATTGCCTATGAATACTTCTATGGGTTTCAGATTTAGATCGATATGATAGAGGTTATGTATATCACACTGTTTTCAGTAATAATTCAGTGAATGAAACCATATAGTTGCTTAACTTAAGTGATTTTTAGTTGCAGTTTCGACATTTCATTACACTTTAGTCTCCCCTGCCTTATTGTGCTGCCCGTAGTTTTGTTACTACAGTATACTTGGGAAATAGATGAAATCGTGCTTGTTGAGAGTGTGTACTAATGGATTAAGATAAGCTGGAGACAAGTATGATGATGCCTTTCTACCTCAGACACCAGCTTTACGATATTCCTTCACTAATCGACGTTCGCCATCACCGACTTCCAAATGTTATGATAAACCATCCAACACCCAACGATCAGTTTTCCTTTATAAGGATACTTTTAGTTCCATAGATCATTTGACTTCAGTTCAGGGTTACTTTGCCGACTGGATGCTCTTGAAAATATCCTCATCTCATAGCATTGAGGTTGAGGAAAATCCTGCTGTATGCCATAGATGGTGTTTCTCCCACAACACTTATGAATCTGAGTCCTCTTACTACATTACACAATAAACTGATTCTCTCTTCATTGGTTCAAATAGGCAACTTAGCGGATCTGTGCTTTAACAACTTATATGGTCAAAACGTGTTCATATCTACAATTCATGCCTCTTTGATGAGTTCATTGAACAAAATACACGAAAAAGTCTCGAATTTGTAAGAGCTGATGTCCCAATCTGTTTCGCTGAAACGCTACCAAGGTAGTTAAGGGAGTTAAGGATGTCTGAATAGGATGAAGCTTTTGGAATGCAAGCAACGGTTTCGAGATATATAATGCGTGAGCTACCTAGTTATCAGGAGACCAGAGCTCCACGGTGGGTCGAAGATAATTTTGTGAAAACGCTTGTACGAGTACATTCGAGTACATAACTCAATCTATTTTATTCAAGACTTCATACTTGGAGTTATCAGTCTACCTCATAACTTTGTAATATACAACATGAATATACGACCTTCGGTTTACTTTTAAGTAGATACAAGCATGGACACAACGAATATTAGGAGAGCTGTAGACTGACCTATGTGATCCAGATTTTTATTTTCAACAATGATCTTCTATATAACTTTGTAGTTTAGTTCTTATCATTCGTTCCCTCTTTTTTCACTTGTTCCCGAGTTTTTTCTCATCGTTAAAGTATGTATTTATTATTAATATTCATCCCTTCATTCTGTACCGTTTGATGAATTGTAAATCAGTAGTGTTAGACAATTTGAGTAATGCAAAGATATTTTGAACTGATGCATTTACGGAGTCACGTAATATGATCACTACCAGATAATATTGCTTCGGTGAGCTCAGACTAAAACTTCTTTATTTATCAGCAGGTACGATAAGAGGGAAATAATTTAATTCAGCTAACGTCTTTAGTAACCAACAAAACTTAACAAACTTCACAAAATAACCAGAAATGATTCTGAAACTCTATTATGATTTAAACAAAGCTACATAAATAATAATAACGATTCTCTTCTCGTATAGAAGCTACTTCTTTGAAGAAAGTTAAAATTAAACACATTCGTCGTATAAAGTTATGCAACAAAATAAGAGAGAGACATTATAATACTTGTACATCTATTTGCTGAGATATGAAACTGATATGTGTCAAATCATTAGACGGTTTGAATATCCCTGTTTCATGTACTCTTTGTTATCTATATTGTCTATTCAGAAGTGTGTATTTGTTTATTTTTCAGTTGATTGATTTATGACTGACTTCTTTCAGAGTTTAAATTTAAAGTTGTTGATAAGTGGTTTATTATTTTACACTCATCAGCGGGAAGTGGATTAACAATACTCATTTCACTTAGTACTTTGAAATAATACGGAATAGTAACTGAATGAAGTCATATCAAGATTTAGTTTTCGTCAAAAGACTGTAACAAGATTAACGGTTTGTCCTCCAATGGACTTGGTAAAGCTCAAGATTACTCGGAGTGATCATGAAACATCAGGAAATCAGAAACTATAAAGGTAACATAAAAAAGGATAGATTCGAAAAAGAAAAAGCAGGATGAGAAAAATAATCAGAATAAATGGATGTGAACTGCAGTAACAACTCTTATTATAATAGTGAAAACAGTAGATAATAATAAAGAGACCCTATCATTGTTATCTTAATGATACTGTGCTATCACCTCATATTGAGGTTTTTTATACTTAATTTAATATAAAATTCAAAAGTGTGTTCCTTGTTTTACTCAACAGCTCAAAATATGCACTACCATTTTATTCTTCATAAGAAATATCCTCAAATATTGTAAGGTATTTATTGTTATTCTTCAGTCATCAGTTTTATTGCATACTAAATATTCCTCTGTGTAAGCAATAGAGAGTTTTGATTTCCATGTAATCATCAAACAACATTTTCAAAGTAATAGAAAATTAATATAATTGGGATATTCTGAGGACTAAAAACCCAACTTCTGAAGTTTTATAATCTAATTCAAATCTCTTTCTCAAAGAGTAAATAACCTATTTAAAAGCAGCATATATAGAATAATAAATAAATATTCAACGTATTCAAAACAGTTTGATCATCTTATCATGTTACTGACGTCAAAAACCAAGCATATATGTATATTTTATATAGTTGAAATCATGAATCAATTGAAGCTCGTTCACCAAGGAACCTGGAAGCACTGAACGGCCATTTCGTCCCATTGTGAGACTCCTCACCAGTACACAACCACGATCCCGCCTCCCGAGATTCGAACCCAAGACATATCAGTCTCATGAGTGAGCGCTTGACCTCTAAACCACTGAGTCGGCATTCAACGGTGTTAATGCTTTGCTTCAACCGATCCACGAAATTGAGCAGTCATTCACCAATGTCTTCAGTGAGTTGATATCTCCCAACAGACCTGGTTGAACTCCACTGGTTACTGCTTCTCACTAGAAATCCAGGATGCGCACTGCTGACGAGTCCCACAATAGGACGAAACGGCCGTCCAGTGCATATTGGTTCTCCATGGTGATCTAGCTTCAATTGACTCATGATTTCAACTATATAAAATTACTAAAATCTCCACAAAACCCCCTTCTGATATATGTGTATATGTTTGTTTATATCTATGTGGTTATGAAGAATGTGAGACTAGTAATGCAATGGAGTAGAGATTATTTCTTAGTATATTACTGGTTTATACAGATCACAGGCCGTTCTTTTTTTGGAAGAGTATTTCAAGTTGGATGGATAGTTGGGCCTGATGATCATTGGGATATCGCGGATAAAAATAATAAAGGATAATTCAGCGAAGAAAATCTTTCTGACAATATCATTTACTTAAGCTATACAACTGCACTTATAGTAAATTTACGAATAAGTTGTCGATTGAAAAATAGGAGGGGGATAATATCATATCATGTGTCAAAAAAAGTTGCTTAACAATCGGAAATTTGAAGAAATTTAAAGCTCAAATAAAATGTGTAAAAGCTAACTGTCCACTTGACGAATATGAGAACATTGAAGAATAACTTAAAAACGTGAAGGTGATAATAATGAACAACTGAGATTAAAGACATTTAAAATATAAGAAAAGTGTCTTACTAACTAAATTATCGTTTATAAAAATTAGTTGTTACAGACATGGTAGAACAATAGCTTGCATGTTTCTCTTTTGAACACAGAGCTGAGGTTTGAATAGATTAATCGTTAACGTCTCTGCAGTGCACATCTCAGTAATTCACTCACCTGTAGAACTAGATCGTTTGATCGTATAAATTACTTTGAAAAGCTTATCAAGGGGGACCGTGTGACCAAATATGGATCTATTAAATGATACTCTATGTTTCTACAAAGTAAATTTTATGGATAACATGTGCCATAGATCTTGTTTACTATAAGCTTAATCTCATTAGTGATGAATAAGTAACTTTTCTTGAAAGAATCACTGTTATCCGAATGAATACATTAAAAAGAAAATCAATGCTTAACAAACAAAGAAAACAAGTCAGTAAATCAATATCACCCCTCAGTTTTCATCTTCCCTGATATTCAATGGGTATAATAACCATAACGATTGGTAGAATTATCCCAAAAATAAAATTTTAATAAAATGTCCTATTTTAATTTAAATTAACCAAAAGTGTTTATGTATGTCGCGTACATTATTGATTTCATTATTACCATCATATATATATATATATGAATGTGTTTATTCTTCAATAATTCTATATTTTGTATCCTATTATTCAAGGACAAAGATAGGAAAATTGTGCTAGTCAATCATATTATCTTAATTTATCGATTAAATTAGTTTAGTTAAATGTGTATTCAACTACCAATAAGAATTTTTTGTTAATTATTCCCAATCAGAAATCATTTAAATAATACTGATCACTTTCAATGAAAAACAAAATGTACTTTCTTTTAAACCAAAACAAGATTTTTTTTAAAATATTCCATTAGTATCCATAACATGAATATAAATGTTCATTATTTAATAAACGAATTCATTTAATTGTTTGTTGTTTATTTTCTTTGTTGTTGGAAATTATCAATGAAAAGTTAATCAATTCATTGTTCAATTTTTATTCGATAGAAAAAAACAAACAAACAAAATTTCGTCCTTATTTTTTCTGTACTTCTTCAGCAATTTAATATGATTTATATATTGATAATCCATTTTATTTTATTTAAAGTTCATTAATCAATTTAAAATTTTCTTCATGAAAATTTTTTATTGAAGATAAATTGTGCAAAAATTTCATAGAAAATAAACTTTCTTTTTCCATTTTTTTTCTTTTCAAAAATTCTGAGAAAAAGAAAACTTTCTTTAATAAGCATTTAGAACATCATGAATTTATGTTAAAAGTACATTTTCGATTAACCAGATTTATTTCTTTAAACAACATTCATTGGAAAATTCATCATTCAAGTTGATCTAAAAAAAATTTTTTTTTTTAATGCCCGGAGATAATCAACAACAAAGTGCTTACAAATATCGAAATACCCGTTATGGAAGTAAGTTTTAATTGAGTAAAACAAGAAAAATAATAATAACTTCTATATTGAATAATTGATAATAGAATTAGAATTTCATTTATATTATTGTTAATTAACAATAACAGTTATTAATTTGATAAGCATTATTTGATGCTGTGACTAGTCTCTTATTATTTAAATGCTTAACGATCGTTTTGAGGACACTTATTCATTCCATTTGATAAATAAGTATTTTAAGTAGTAAGCGTAGATTTCATTTATTATGTTGAAACAATCAAAGAAATGAATATGAATATAAGTAGAATTCTCTGAAATGTTCGAATAAATTATTCCTGTAACAGTTCTTGAATCATTTTTTAGTTATTATTGGAATTGGAAAAAATTCTTGTTCACTAAAACGATTGAATGTTAATCAAGCATTTGATAAACAATAAGGATTTATTCACAGCTATCTAAAATTTCAATCTCTGATTACTTATTCATAATTATATATAGACATATATATTGTTGGAGAGGTTCACAAAACTCCCTGAAGAAAGCCAAAACATGCTCTTAAAACACTGAGAAGGATCTTATCCAATCAGAATTTATCAGAAATTTCCCCAGAAACATCTAGAATGTGAAGAGTCACATGTCGAGTTTCTGACTGCCTGATGAATATACTGCTATTATGTTTAGTAACGTTCCAGAATTTTCCGGAGGCCCAAGGACACTTAAAATGCTATATATACATTAGATCTTCTTACATAATTGAACCTTTAGAGTAAAGCATTTCTTCCATATTTCGTGCTTTTTCTCTCGTGTTCACGTTGCTGTATAGATTTAGCTTGGAAGTTACTAAAAGATATTAGGAACCGAATTTAGCGTTCACTTAGAAGACATCATAATATATATATATATACTCGGGAAGAAACAATGTAAAAACACTTTCCTAAGTAACTTCCTGTTGTCATCTTATGCAACATATATCTTGTAAAACTTCATAGAGTGAAATATTGAAATCTTAAGTTGCATAGTCATTAAAATCAGATTAACTACTTACTAATAAATAGTAAGTAATGTGTTTAATATAGATACGTTTTTCAAGACAAATGTCTTATCATTATGTCAACAGGCTAGAACTTATCCTAAATTCGGAAGGAATCTTACTGATCGTTCTTCATTTAAGACAATAGTCATATTTTTTAATAGTTTATTGTTGAAAAATCTTCATAATTAACAATGAATATTATTTGTTACAACTAACATATGATTCAGATTAGTTTACAGAAAATCAATAGAGTTTCATCAATTAATGCTTACTTATTAACAATTGTCATAATTGTACAGTATTATTTTACTCCTTGAATGGTTATGTTCAATGATATTACATCTTAGATGATGTTGACATTTACCGGTTCTGACACATTAACATGTTGTATTGTCGGTTGATATGTTAAGCGCATATACCTTATTTTAGCTTCTGGACAATCCGATTTACCTATCTCTCTTGAGTCATGTTTTCACCTTGTTAATTATTCATTTATTAACCCTGACTATTTTTTATATGAGAGCATGTCAGTATACACGTCTTATCTCATTTATTTTTATCTGACTATAAATGTTGACTAACTCTTGATTAAAGTGAGTTGGCTTACCCGCCATCTTCAATGCGTGTCATTTTCGCTTGCTCCTTGATATTTGCTCATGTACTCATAACTTTCTGGCCTGGGTCATTTTCTAATAAAGCTGTAGTTGCCGCTTCTCTTTGCCTTCTGATTTTGTGCACCGTTAAGATTTTTATTATAACGATTATCGAAGTGAACGATTAACGAAGCACGGCACTACAATATCTATAATTTGCCACTTAACCTCGATCAATACTGATTATGAATCTTAAATTACGTAATAATAACTGTTAACCACCCATATAACTCAAAATGTCTTTTTCTAGCTGATATTATTAAACATTGAAAACTATTAATATGTAATATTATATTCACTAAAATTTCCATAATTGATTTTTATCCCACACATGATTTAAATGCTATGATTAAATAGGGAAGATGGTATGGTATTTCATTTTTATTTATCCTATAATAAATTGTAAGATCATTCTGATAACTTCACCATATAAATGTAGAATTACCGCCTTTTTAAATATAGATAGCTAGCTCTATTAACCGAGTATTATAATGTAACCTATACGGTAAACTAATAATATCCTATGTCTTTCTTCATCTAATTTTTATTAGTAATAGAATTCTATAGTCTTATGTAACTGACTATTACAATAAATCCAGTTTTACTGAAGATTAGATATCACCGAAATAACTAAGTCGTAATGTTCCTGTTGTGATTTTGAGTTTTGTACGTTTAAATCCTTTTTTGAGCAACAGTTTCTTCAAAATTTCATATGAACCTTTTGACGAGAATCAGTCAGGACTAACACATTAGTTAATGCTTTCTTGTCACTTGTCTCAAACTGTTTAATGTTAAATTAACTTGTCTAGGAGACTGAGGCTTGCATCAATGGTCATCCTCACTGAAGTTGTACCATATCAATTCAATATTAGCTTACAAAAATATTATTTCAGTGAACAAATAAATGCTTTCTCAGGAAACATTAAAGACGGTATCTTCTTTCATGTTATTAGAATAAAACTTGACAGATCATTCATTCCCTGAAATTTATATATAGTAGATAAATTATGAATTTTAAAACACTAATACTTTTTAACAGATAACAGTACACTTTGTTGAAAAGAAATTGCCTAATGATTGATTGCTATTCACTCTTTTGATTTCTGCCTTCAATTCACTTAGTAATATGTTCTTTGACTTGTCTTTCTTCCTTTTGATCTGGGGATTTCAAGTTAGAGCTTGCCTTGTAATGAGGTTTAATGATTCTCTCAATGAATGTCTTATCCACCTTCAGTGTCTTTCTTTAATCAACTATTCAGCCGAAGATGGTTGGTTCTCTACCACAGGATATGTAGTATTCACAGAATTTTTAATTAAATGAATAAAAAACATTGAAGTTATTATCTTCGTGATGCAATAGTAAATAGCTCTTAAATATATACGGTTGGTTGAAAATTTTCTATCTAAAAACTTTCATAGACTATTATGGAAGCAGTTGTAGATCAGTCTTGGAAAATGTTTTACAACAGATTAGGATGGATGTCACTCTTATTCTGGCATTATAATCTGTTTTCATCTTCGTAACTAATTCATTAGATATTAAACAAAGGAATTCAGGTATCAAAAACATGAAGTTCAGAGAAGGTATCTCTTTCAACGAATTTGTTACCAAGCTGTACATTCATGTATATATTAGAATTATTTTGTTAAAGTATTAGTTCCTTGAGGAAATGTGAACAAGGAATAACCAAGGTGATGTATCAGAAAGATTATAATACGAATAATAACAATAGACTTAATAAGTTAGTAACGAATTATAGCGTGAATGTTTTGGGATGATTATTATGTTTTTGTTACAATAATTAAAGTCGATAGAAGTGCGAAATAAATGAAGTGATGCCATGAACAACTATAAAATAATGAGAATATGAAACATAAGTAAAGGTAGAAATGCAATAATAATAATAATAATTAAGGCCAAAGTAATGATGACTATAAAACGTACTCCTTTTGTACACATAGTTCTGGCTTGAGCTCATGGATGGTAAGAGCTTCGGCTATTTTTAATAGTTGGATACGAAGTAATCTATGTAGATTTGTATAAATCGTATATACAACCTTAAAATCAATGTATGGATCACTAGAATGATTAAAGTCGATTACATGTTCAAGCATAAAACTCCTAACTGCTTTCCTCTCACCTTTGCGGAACCACACTGGAACACGTTCCCGTATCCAAGTTGAAAGCGATCTCTGGCTACAGACAATGTACTTTGCTCCACAATAGCAGGTGAGCTGATAGATACATACACTTAGGTATTAACCTTTCACAGAGATGCTGTTACATTTAGATCGATAAAATATATCACAACTAAAACTCTAAAATATACACAATCATATTCAGATTTAAACTAATATCATAGTTCAAGATATTTTCAGGGAATTAGTCAAATAACAGTTCAAACTCTTACATAATTTCATCGTTGGAATCATCAGTCATTTGAAGCTAGACCACCATAGAAAATCTGGAAGTTCTGGACGGCCATTTCGTCCTATGGTGGGACTCCTCACCAGTCCGCACCCACGATCCCGTCTCGCGACATCCGAACCCAGAACCTATCAGTCTCAATCACGAGCGCCTAACCTTTAAACAACTGAGTCGGCATCCAACGTGTTAATGTTTAACTTTAACCAATCCAGGAAATTTAGCGAAACCGTCTACCATAATTATTTAAACTATTTAACACAATTAACCAAAATATTTAATGACTATGTCTAGTTACTTAATCTAATACTTACTTACTCCTGTTACTCCCAATCGAGCATAGGACGCCAACCGGCATTCTCCAATCCACACTATCCTGAGCCTTCCTTTCTAGTTCTCTCTATTTTTTGTTCATTCTTCTCATGTCTGTCTCCATTTCTCGGCGCAATGTGTTCTTTGGTCTTTCTCTTTTCCTTTGGCCTTCAGGATTCCGTGTGAGACTTAATCTAATAACCATAACAATAATATTTATTGACCGATAAAACCTAATTAATTTTTAAGAAAAAAGCACATGAAGTTTTCATCAATTATACTGTAAACAAGTAAACTCTAATTCGTCAATAAAATTAGATTACAGTTAATTATAAGTATCTGTTAAAAAAAACATGAATATAATTATGCAGATACATCCAGCTGACGAGTCCCAAATGGGACGAAAAGCGCGTCCTGGATTCTACTGCTAGCCACTATCCATCTTCACTTACCATCCTTGTGAATTTAGGCTATATCGAGGCAATACGCACAGTATGCACATATGCCAATTAGAAACTGACCAGTTGCAGTCCTACAAACATCAATGGGAAGATTCAAACAAACAATACTAAGTGAATTTATAATTATGTATATTTCT